ATTAAGACTAAAACGAAATGGCATTTTAGGCAAAAGAGGGAAATGTCACAATTAACAATGGTGGAAAAGACTAAGGTGAGAAGAGTGCAATTGAATTTAAGTTATAGAGTATATAATAATATGTAAAAATAAAGAATAAATAATTATACAAAGCTGCAAATGTTAAACACAATAAAACACAACAACCATAACTCTTATGTCATATATTAACAGGGAATATGCCAGACTGCTGTTATGCTAAATAAGTAAGAAAAAATATGAAAATTCACATGATGGTCTTACAAGGGACTCAGTGGTATTCCGGTCATAATAAATATATTGACTGAATGTGTTATCTTTATTATATAGTTAATAGTTTAAATGCCCACCTCTCTTACCTAATATGGCATTTGTGGGACAAGTCACATGTCCAAGTGTTGTGTTACACAAAGTCGACCAGAAACAAATGTAATACTTATTTTGAAATTACTGACTCATTCTATTTTCCAGGAAGTGGCATTTTACAACCACTTTTAGTTCCATAATCGTACAAACATAGCACAAACTGCAACTGTGAGTTAAAGAGACATGAACAACTTTAGCTACTGCCATCTAATTAACATTATAAGAACAGTTATATTTTTATACAATTCAAACAATCAGGTTTAGAAAGATTTCCTCTGGAGTAATGTTTCTTTTGTTTCTTTGTTTCTTTAAGTCATTGCAAGCCTTGAACATTAGCATTTAAAACTGAGTTGTATTTGTGTTTACTGACTTATTGTAAGTGTGAGAGTGTTTCTCCTCCTCCTGGAGGACAGTTTCGAATACATTTATAATGGATTTTCAGATTTATTCCATAAACACATGCAGCAGTGGATTCAGGCAGCTGTTGAGAAAGGCCATATTGGTGGCCAAAGGGATGCCAATGATACAATTTGAAGTATCCATTTTTTTAGCTATCACAATTTGATCCATAATATGAATAGGAGCCCAGCACAGAAAAAAAGCTGATGATAACAGCAATGGTCTTGAAGGAACGACTCAACTGGGTGGCCAGTGGTTTCTTTTGAGATGAGTTTTGATTGTGACAACATAAGAGGAGACAATGACAGTGGATGGGACTGCAAAAAGCACAAGGAAGCGGGCGATGATAATCGGTGGATGATGAAATTGTCTCTGTATATTGGGAGATTCTGCATTATAGTCATCAGAAATAGCGTAGCTG